CTCGGAACACTGTTCGTTGCGTGTTGTTGTCTCGCGCAGATGCGAGGGCGACGCCGTTGCGCATCGGCGATGCACATCGGCCGCCGGTGCGCACCGGTGTATCGCGGTACGAAGTGATGACCGTAATGACTCTAACCACCGTCTGACATCTGGCATTAGGCACTCGGGCTTTCGAGTGGCAACGCCCGCAGCAATTGTTGCCGTTTACGACTGCCGTGCGCGCTCTCTTTCTCCCTCCCGTTCGACGATTCTTCTCTCCTCTCCTTCTTCTGCTTCTTCATCTCTTACCTCCGTCGCTCTTTATCTCTATTTTCCTTCCTCTACCCGCACGGGGACCCGGCTTCCTCGTCTCTCCACGGCCTCCTCTCCTCGACCCCGGTCCTCTCCCTTTCCCGCGCCGCGTCTCGCACCGCGTCTTTCTCGCTCGCCCTTTCTTCCCATCTCCTCTCTCACCCGCTCTCACCACTCTCTCCTTCTCATTTCCTCCGTCTTGTTCGCTCTCGCACGCCTCTTCACTCTCCTTCCCGCTTGTTCCTCGGCCTCTCCCTTCCTCTCGCCGGTCCGCTCTCAATCCTACGCGCTATAGACCGCATTCCCGAGCGCAGCGACGAGACAGAGATATATGTATATGCATTCGCGTGCACCGTTCGCCACCGTCGCCGTCGCCGCTGCAATCGCAAAGTCGCGCGCTTCGATAGTGTTGCTCCGAAGTCTTGAAAAGTCATAATTACGATAATATATATATATATATATATTCGCACTGCTCTCTCTCTCACGACGCGATTGGTCCGCCGACAGGTGACACCGCATACATTCTTTCATACGAGCGGGCGAACAAATGAGCATACGCGCTCGCGCCCGCTTATTTACGAGCGGATTATGCAATCGAGCGTGCTGCACACGCGGCTCTAATCGTAATACCGCGCCACATAATGCGAATCTGGTTTTGTTCGGGGTTCGCTCGAATTGCAAAACGCGACACGCGCTCGTTAACCCGCTCGCGCTCGCGCTCGCACGACACACACGCACACACACACACGCGTAACTTTAAATTAAAACAGCGAATATGTAATGAAGATTATGGCGCACATAAATATGCGTTTACATATCCTACGGGATTAGAACTGGTGGTATATCAAGTTATTTATCTCTTAAACTATCACGCCGCGGCACTCTCGACACTCCAAATATGACTTACGTCGCACTTTGTATGAAAATTATTTTTCATTCATCTAAATCTCTTTTATTGGCACTGTGTGCCGACAGGACAGTACAAGACAGTCACGCTGAATTGAATTGAAACTCTATTTATCACAATATCGTGCGGATTATGCAAGAATCTCTCCCAGTCTCGCGGGATAATATAAGATTTAAAGACGATATTTCGCATAATTGTTGCCTAAAAATAAAATAATTATTATTCTGCTGAATTAATGTAGGATTAAATAGTTTTGTGTCTCTTTCTCTCTGTGAGGTATTTATCAATTTTTTATTATGAGGAATGGTTAACGATCAGATCTTCTCGATTCGCTACCTTGAATGTGATTTCGTTTGCATGTTTCATTACATTATTTCGCGGTCATTTGCGTTCGCGCTTAATTCTCCACGCTGAAAATCTCGTATGGCGTATCGTGTGAAAGTGTACCGTGCGGAGTCGCGTGTGATATACGTAATGTCCGCGTTCTCCATTCTGGATTCCCATTTCAGGAATAATAAGGACCGGATCTCAGACAGCCGTTGATAGAAAAATAGACCGCCTCTCACCGAACAGTAATAATGACTTATATCGCGTTTGTTAATAGCCGTATTGCGCGCGGACTAATCACGGATATTAGAAAGTCATCCTTGTGAAACATTCCACGAGCTCCGCGCATTACCCAAATTTCTCTTTAATAAAAACGCAATGAACCAATGAACGAATGAAGTATGTGCTTTTTGTACAACAACAAACTACATCCTCCATATCATTTTTTCATTTTATTAAGCGATCGAACGAGATACGAATAATAAAATGTCTTTTTTTCTTATCGTAGCAAAACACATCGTTAAAAAGGTAGCTTCAACAGTTCGTCCATGTGTTTCACATAAAGTGGAACGTATGCGGCGTCGAATCGCGCGATTTTCTCCGCAGAAATGCCTCTCACGAATAATTCGCGCCGGTGCGCCGGCTGAAAATAAATGCCAACGCGCGGCGATCGTTTAGCGGGAGAAAAAAAGAAGATTATCCTTATCGGTGTGGTTGATTACCATCATTTTCCCGCGCTCCTAGCAGCACTGCACGCCGATAACCATCCGTTATCGGGTTTCTCAAGTGTCCCTGGATTACTCAACGTCCTCCTCTCTACTCGATAGTGACGTGCCAGACGATTCATCGTTCCTCCCGTTATTCCCAACCGCAGGTCTTTCTGGAATCAAAATTTTTGATTAGAAAAAGTCAACAGAAACATGAGACCTATTATTAACTATTTTTTTTCAATATAGAAGAGTAACGAGAATTTCTTCACAGTCTGTCAATTGTCGATTACAAAATGCACGGAATAGTATTTGAAAACAATCGTGGAAGAAACGATGCGCCTACAAATTTGAACGCGGTTCTTCGGGAAAAGCATTACATAAGAAGCGAGCTAGATCGTCAATGCGTACTGCAACTTCGCGTTAATGTCACCTACGGGAGAAGACTGCAATTTCGGGCTGGAATTCTCGGGAGATTATTCTCGGCGCGCGGGATTCCGTGAAAAATTCAACTTTAGTGCCAACGCCGCGTCGGCACTTTCGAAAATTCCCTTTCACACGCGTGTGATGCTTTGCAACGGCAGCGCGGACAAACGATGCCGACTTGACTATCAGTCTGACGAGGAGCAGAAGACGGTAAGAAGGTGTGTACGCGCTGTAAGAAGTAGGTGATTGCTTGAGAACTCCTACGAGAGACCCGGGATCGAGCTCCCGCGAGTCTGCGGTGCATAACGCTGTTAAGAAGAAATGCTCGTAAAATTCTTGCCAGCTGGAAGAACTAGACACACAGGCTGGGACAAAACGAGAAAAATCTGTACTCTCTACGATCGTCGATCGATACTTCTTTTTCTCCCGCACTGTTATACTTAATATTCTCGATTTACAAAGTTTCGAGAAAAATCTCATTTAAAGCTCAACACGTATTTTCTCTGAAGTATTTTAGAGATCGGTAAAAAAAAGGAAATACGTTTTCAATTGTTTAAAATATTTCTTTGCACAATTGCAATGATTAATCGCTGATAGATGAATTTCCAAGGCATTAAAGATAATAATTTGTTAAGTAATCGTGATAATGCAAGTAGTTGCATTATTCCCCAGATGACATTGAAGGATGCACGACTCATCAACATCGCATGATTGTCTACGTACATCATAAATGTCCGGTACAAGATACCATAAAATCATTGATACGCACCGTCGTGTTAATGAACGAAGATAACGTATACCGTAAAAGTTTGTTTTTAAAAGCTTCATTACCGCGATAGCACTTATCGTAACTTTGCTACGTAAAGTATAAATTTTCCGGTGAGTATATTTTACGCTCGATCTGTTAATTTTTATTGTTGTCGGAAAAGAAATCGTTTTTTTAGAAAAAAAAAATTTTTTTTCAGCGTTCGGTCAGCTGTAAAAAACGATGGCGAATAGAATTAAATCTGTGCGATCAATATCGTTCTCATTTTTTTTTTTTCTATACACTATCTCTCATATGAACTGCTCAATTAAGTTATACCAAAGATACGAGAGGATGAGAGACGATTAAGAAACTCGCCGGATCCGTCGAGAGCGCCGAAGGCGTTAAAACGTTAAAATCGGACCGTGTCTCGTATCCCGATCGAAGTCGGTCACTCTCGATCACTCCGTGCCGAAGAGCCCGCGGCTGCAGCAGAGCGTTTCCTCCAAGTTTAACGAAACGACGGCGAGAACGGGTGCCGAGGAGGGGGACGGAAGAGAGGTCGATCTCTTAAGTGCGTGTGTATATGCATCGAGGCGTCGGGGAGAGAAAGCGCTCGGTAGGTAGATCGGTGCCGAGCTATAAGACAGGTAGAGACGATCGCGAGAGATGAAGGGGCGAGAGAAGAGGGACGGGAAACTGCGTGTGAGCCACACTTTCCAATGCACTCGGTGCGACTGTTGCGCCGGGAAAGTGTGCGAGCTAAGCCAAGCGTAGACCCCGTTCGCACGTACATCAAGCGCCCGAGAGACGCATTCGCCTTAAAAAGAACTCGTTATTTGCGCGACTCCGCGGAAATTGGGAAGCCTCGAGACAGTGCAAGTTCATTTCAGTAGGTCAAACATACGTGCTCGTGGAAAAGATATCGAGCCAGAATTCAATTAACGTTAACTTGGAAAAACTAAGTACAGAATTTTAATGATAGGAACTTCGATTTGCGCATCCTTGAAATATATAACAGCGAGCTTACAAAGATTTGATTAAAATGTTCAATATTACCGTAAGACAATCGATAAATTTTCTCTAACTGTACCGCTCACGTCCCGATCATTACGAAGTAAACGGGGAAAATTCATAGATCAGTCGTTGACCGACCGACGGAATCCGAAGGTTGCATGCGAGATCGGATTTCGTGAGCATCTGCGAGTTTTACACTTAATTTCACGATCGATCATCGGGGCAAACCCCTCGTCCCGAGCGTTCTCTCTTGGCCGCTCGATCGAGCTCTGGGCGCATTCCGCCGCACGCATCTCATCCCGCGCGGACCGACCGGCTGCAGTGCTCAGAGGGAAAACCACTTTCCGATCGTTGCACGCTGCAGGAAAGTCGTGTAGGTGGTCGATCGCGCGCGCGGCTTGATTGGTCTATCGATAGGATAGGCAGTTATGGATGCGGAGCAGTTAACGAAGCACTTGAGAATTTCTCCGGCGCAGAATGCCATTAGATGATTTACATACACGCAGCACTTTGCCTGCATATTAATGGCCAGTCACGGAGCGACGTGTCAAATATTATATTCCATTGATAGTTTTAATCGCGACACTCTTAAACGTGTGTCGCGATACGATGCTCGTGTACTTAGATTCCTTTCCTTTTTTCGTCATTAGCGCAAATGTTACGAGCTTGCTTATCCATGTAAGTACAAAAACCGGCTGTTATTAGGAAAATCTGATTTTATGACTCGGTTGAGGAAGCTGCGTCGACAGATTGCTTCCATTTGCGTCACACATCGGGGATTGTATTTCGCGTTAATAGAGAAGTATTCGTGCTATGTATCGTGAAATTACACTTAAGTCGTTTCGCATTACACGATCGCATCATCCGCCTCGTAATGTAACCGACGATAAATGGTGAGAAGGTAACATATATCTGCCGTGAGTAATGATATTGTTAAACAAAAAGCGTTATCGAGCATCTCGCCGAAACCGCGCTTGTTCTCCGCGGAACAAAGTGCTCCCATTACTTTACTATTACGTTGTGAAGCTAAAACAAAGAACCGCGTATCAAGGCTGGCGTATCGACAAAATCGCAGGTGTTACGAATCACATCCCTTTTCGTAGCGCGATCGGCCGATAAGAAGCGATAAGCGATAAGAACAGAAATTTCACGGTGAGACTTTTGCGCGATGTGTTTTGCACACGCCGCTATTCTATTATCAGTCACGGATTAATCTCTTCCGCGTTCACTGAATTATGGTATATATTTCACGAATTGTGAAAAAGCAATATAAATATGAGGTAAGCCGCGACGACAATTCTGTTTGAAAACCTATTCCGCAATTTGTTGCGTGCAAGTGTTCGTCAAGCGGCCGTTACTTTCAAAGCCGCGCAAGACGCTACGGCCGCCCTACAGTATTACAGCACTGTGATCGAGTAAGGGACGGCGTGAATCGCCAGCTCAGGGTCAGTTAACCCAGGACTCTCCCCCGGACTCCGGACGACTTCTTCCGAGTTACACTTAATCCGTTCCGCGCTCCCATCTCTCGCGCGCGGCCCCGCGGAAAACGCGATGGCTCCGCGGCGGCGTAATCGGAGATAAGCGGCAAGAAGAAGCGCAGCGAGATGCGCCGAGTGACGACCTCGATTGACCCGTCGATCAGTCACGGTTCTCCCGCCACGGATAGAAAGGGAG